ATACCCTTTGAATACCAGTCAGATTATGTATTATTATAGTAAAAATAGTAATAAAGTATAGTAATAGTAATAAAGTTCACATTTTTCAGCATATGAATGATGAAACCTAATATTTCTTTTTATCATCATTGCAGGTCAGTAACAGTAACAATGATTTATTTTTTACTTTTTTTAAGTGGTGGTGGTGGGGGGTAAATGGCCAAAAATAAAATCACAAATGGTGTGTTAGTGGCCAGAAAGGCATTTTAATGACCAAATAACCACTTAAATAACCAATAAAATGATCAAAAATTATATTCCAGTGTGTGCTTCTGTGTGCATCCTCATTAGCAGCAAGATGTGCTAACCACAGTAAAGTGATTTTTGTAGGCACACTTTCTACACCTGGTACAAGGGGCTGCTGTTCCAATCCTGGAGATGTGCCTTTTGCACCTTCTTCTCATTTTGTTGGTGGGGTGTAGGTCACACTCTGGTTCAGACTACTGTATCTTGAGATCAATTGCAGAAGTGGCTGAGAATTGAGGAGAAGGGTGTCTTGCAGTTGTTGAGGTCACCAGCATGTGCCCCAGCTCTCCCAGGATCACTCTTCATTTGTAGGTTGTAGAGGACTCCCCCACTTCAGTGAAGTTGTTTCCGGCGGGACAAAGGCATCGTATCCCAAGACATCCAGGAGATTGGAGAAAAGAGACAGCAGCCATCAGTTAGTTTTCCTTCTACAACTCAAGGTGCCAACACAAGGTATCCAAGCAATATTTGTGCCTATTGTAGTCCAGGATTGCTTCTTGCTTTCACGCATCCTTTATTCCCCATCACTGACTGGTTCCTTGTGTGTTGCTGTCAAAAGAAGAACATTCCTCCGTTGCTTTGGCATGTGGGATATCGCCGTGGTAGTTTTGGTGAAGCCAAAGACAGACAACAAAATCTTCCTCTGTTGGAACTGGAGGAGCTGGGGAGAAAGCTCTGGGTTGTTTCCCCTGTGCCAGTTTTCATCTGAGGAGTTCCTCTGCCAATGTGACCAAAGTAAAGACGTTGTCCTCGGAGCTCCTCCGTCAGTTGGAGTCTGATATAAGACTTTTTAATTTGTGATTATGTTTAGTTTTAGCTTCATTAAAGGAAAAGGAGCTTGTGAATTGGAACCATCACAGGAAAAGAGAGTGAAGCCATATGTGCAGAGGAATGCTGTGACATACGATACTAACAGACAAGTTAACGGTCTCTCTCTCTCTTTCTCTCCTTATAAGGGAATGTTCTGTTTTCTATACATACCAAGTTATCTCCTGTTTCAAGCGAACAGTCTCTCCTTTTATGGAAATGTTTTTTATATTCTGAACATGCCACTCCTACTTCCTTAAAAACTTGCTTGAAGTATAAATAAAGAAAGCTCTGAAAGCCCTGGGCGGTTTTCCTCTGTGTCACATCTGTTCTGCACACGTACTGCAGAGCAGATCGGACCAGGGACGGGGAATCGTCCATGTATATTTACATGAAAAAGATATCTTGAGTCTAAGTTCTTTGCCTTCAAACAATTTTCTCCTCACAGAGTCTGAACCCCTTTCCCTTTTTTACTTCCAGTGTTGTCATCCAACATGCTATGTATTGCTTTATTCTGGTTTAGGCTCACATCTCCACTTCATCTATAATCCTCCAATCCTCACACCTTCGCCTCCCGTGTAGCTTTGTAAGGGTGCACAGCAGCTAAAAGATCTCTTTGTTATAAAAAAGTCAAAAGTAGATCACAGGTTGCTAATGCAGGAAATTGCATACAAGGTGACCCCTGGTTTCATACCAGTGGGTACTGGATTGTAGAGCAGTCTCTCTTCAGTGGTGGGACCCACATGGTTTTCCTTTCATGAGGGATCCACTCAGTCACCGGCTCCT